GGGAACGGCGGGAATGACGATGGGAACGGCGGGAATGAGAGCCGTGGGAGTGAGGGGAACAGTGGGATTGGGGACATGGTCAAGGATAGGGGAATTCCTGGGAATAATGGGGACGCCATCAGGGATGGGGACAGGAATCTGCAGGACCCCTCTGGGAATAATGGGGACACTGCCGGGATCAGGAACCCGCAGGATCCCCCTGGGGATGGGAACAGCTTTGGGATCAGGGATCCCCCTGGGGATGGGAAGAGTTTTGGGATCAGGAACCTGCAGGATCCCCCTGGGAATGGGAACACCTTTGGGATCAGGAACACCTCTGGGATCAGGGACCCCCCTGGGAATGGGAACAGCTTTGGGATCAGGAACCTGCAGGATCCCTCTGGCAATGGGAACACCTTTGGGATCAGGGACACCTTTGGGATCGAGGACCCGCAGGATCCCTCTGGGAATGGGAACACCTTTGGGAATGGGAACACCTTTGGGATCAGGGACACCTTTGGGATCAGGGACCCCCCTGGGGATGGGAAGAGTTTTGGGCTCAGGCCCCCCCTGGGCCCGCTGGCCGAGCTGGTGGCCGCCGGCTACTCCACGCTGGCCCTGCGGGGCCTGCCGGGCCCATCCCACCCGGATCCCGTTTGGGATGAGGAGCTGGAGCGGGGTCTGACCCTCCTGGCGTCCCAAAGCGCCCCCGTGGCCGGGCTGGCCGCGGCCGTGGCCACTCTGCTGCTGGCCAAAGCCTTGGCCATCCTCGGCCGCGTGGCCACCGCCCTCGGCCGCTCCGTCAGCGACGTCCTGGCCCAAACCTGGACCCCCCGACCCCCACCCGGCCCCAAAGAACCCCAAAAAACCCCCAAAGCTCCCCCCAAAAAAACCAAACCCCCCAAAGGCAAGGTGGGGAAGACCCCGAAAGCGAAGCCCCCCGGGTTTGGGGAGGTTTTCTCGCTGGGGGATTCGGACAGCGAGGTTCCCCCCCTTGTCCTGCGGCCGGGGGGACCCTGCACCCCCCACCCCAAATCGGGGGCGCCCCCAAAAACGCTGCTGGGGGGGCCCAGGACCCCCTTCAGCATCTTCAGCGAGGAGCCCTCCCCCAGCGGGGGCCGCTCCCGGCTCCGCAGGGCCCCCAAAATCCCGGGAAGGGTCAAGTCCCGCATCAGGGTGAGTTCGGGGAGGGGAAAGGTTTGGGGGGTGGAAATTTGGGGAGGGGGAAAGTTTGGGGATGGAAGTTTGGGGAGGGGGAAAGTTTGGGGATGGAAGTTTGGGGAGGG